TCAGCAGAGCGAGAAAAGGAAAGGACACTAAGAGAAAAAGTTCTTGCGAGATATCGTGGTACGAATTTCCCGGAATTAGTCAATATTCGTTATGGGCATTTTGCAGAAAAAGAGGGTGCGACGCGCTCTGCTGCATCGCAGGCTTATCGTGCGGTAAGTCAGGACCGCTTTTTTGGACAAAATGCCTCAAGTGGTAGGCAGGGTGTGGACTGGTTTATGCTTTTTACGGGATTAGCATTATTTTATGTGTCATCTAAAATGTTGTTGCAGCGTCTTTCAGGCACTTCCTTGGATGGTGCAAGCGTGCCCTTATGGACTGCAAATCCAGAAACACAGGCCAAATTTTTGCTTTTTTCTCTTCAATTTGACCCCAATAACCGTGAACAAATCCAGCAAGCGTATCACAGCGTTCGTCAAGCGTATCCGTTCACGGATTTTTTCCAGTGGTTGCGGGTTCAACACCCCGAATATGGCCAAGGCATCGTTTTCAGCTATGAAGCAGCCGTCAACTCACTGGTTACTATTATTTCCAGTGGTGATTCTTGGGCACTCATGAACTTGGCTCGTGGATTCCAAAATGCTCTTAAAAAGCGCAATACCAACTCGGCACAAAGAATCGATGATTTTTTGACGGATGTGGGGGCTTTGGCTGGCGCTCAGACTCCAGGAAGGTATTCAATGCCTCCTGGGTACGCACCACCACAGCCACCTCCGGAAACTTTGCAGTTGCATGGGGATGAGCCAATGAACCTACAGGGCGCAATTGAATCTCTTCCCAGCGAGAGCCATGGTTCGGTTCCCTTTCAGTAGATTGTTTCTGGCTATTTTTGAGTTTTTTCTCGCTTTTTGAAATTTGTGTTCAGTTGGACCTTTTTTGTTGAATGCTTCTTATATTGGAATTAATACATTTTTAAATTCTATCTTTGACTGGACCTCTTGTGGTGCATTTTTTTTGCTGTTGTTTATGATTTTTCCTTTTTTTGCTTTTGAGGTGGGCTTAGTGTGGTGTAGGAAGATTCGATATTTATTAGGTTTAAAAAGAAATACGGATAAAAAAAGAATGAAATGTGGACAAAAGGCGAAGCCTGTTACACATGATCAGGCTGCTGAACTTTACGAAATTTTTTGCCAGTTTGATTGCGCCGGAGAGGGTGTTCTTGAAATGTCTAGAGTCAAGGAGTTTTTGCTTGAAATATTACCGGGTCTTACCGAGGACATATATCTTTCTGTTATTTTAGACGCAAATCTCCATAATGCAGAAGAGATAACCTTTGCACAGTTTTTTTTGGTTTTCTTTAACATTTCAGCAAGAATGCCTTGTAATGGAAAGTATGAACTCGAACAGTTAAAAGAAGTTTTTGCGGCATTTGACCCAGAGTGCACGGGATATATTGAGATTAATCGATTTATGCAAATAATGTTGGAGGAGGGAAATCCCATTTCTTCATTTGAGGGAAGGGAACTTCTATTACAAATTCGTTACTTTGGTTGTGCACACAAAGGAAAAGTGAACTATGTAAAATTTTTGTCTATAATTTTTGTACGTGGCGTATCCAATCTATTCTGTTTTGCCGTTTGAGGTGAATATATCCGAGATTGCTTGCTATATATATATTTTTTTATTTATATACATATATACCATTTTGAACTTCGTTTTTGCATTGTTATTATTATTTTTTTATCAAATGTAATGTGTTATTTGGAATTTAGAATTGTGCTTTATTTTGAGGCGAAGTTTTGAGATGATCATTTGAAGGCACTTCTTTTGCTTTTTTTTTTCCTTGCGCGTGCACTTTCTCGAGATAAAAGAGGTGGAGAGGGATGTATCTCACGTTGTGTTTGATTCTTTCTTTTTTCTTTTTAAATTTTTAAAATTCTTTACGGCAGTTTTGTCCCACAGAAATCGTGAATAATTCTTGGAAAGTCAAAAAAATAATAATAATCAAAAACAATGGACGCTGCGACCAAATTTCTTAGGGAAAGGTTTGCACATGTGTCGATGACGAAAAAGGAGATGCTAATTGCAACGGTTCTCGCATTTTTACTTTATGCTTCTTCGATTATGATGTTTTTTGGCATGAATTTCTGGCTTTGGTCTTTTAAAAAAGGAATTAAACGCAGTTATGCCACCATTTTCCTTCCATCAACGGGATGGGTTTTTCTGTTTGTGGTTTCTACGATAGTTCTTCGTATAATTAGCTGGAAAAGTGGACGCAATGAGAATTTTTTCTTTTGGTGCTCTCGTAAGGGCTGTATTCTTTTGCTTTTGATTGGTCTATTTGATTCATTGACTGGGCTTTTATCCCTGTACTCCGCAGTGCATGTTCCGGTTATACTTCAATCTGCGCTTATATCGACAGGACCCATTTGGACTTATATACTCGCGTGGATTTTGTATCCGGAAAGTCAGCCAAAGTTTTCCCCCATATTGCTGTTAGTTGTTGCCTTTACAGCTGGTGGGGTGACTCTTGCAGTGATGCCACAGACTCAAAGCCAAAATAAAAAAAAGTATTTCAGCCCTACTTGGATAGTAATATTTCTTATAGGGACTTTCTTATATCCTCTTTATAATGTTCTTCAAGGTCGGTTTTTGAACGAATTTCGAGGATCTTGCTCACCGTTTACGAGCAAAATAATCATGTTGACATGTGAGACATTTTTGGTGTTTTTTTTTACCTTGACATACTTTCCAATTGATGCTTCTCCATTTTTTGGAAAGTGTGATTCTTTACAAGAATCTTGGGATATGCTTATTTCCAGTTTGAACTGCGTTGCTGGATGCCCCAATAATGCCATTTATATGACTGTATATATTTTGGGTTTTTGGATCCGTCATATTGTTTTTGCGTACATGAATGGATATTCTCCTGTTGTAGCAGCAGTGGGCAGTCAGATGAC